CATAGAGACTAAAAAAACAAAAGACCAATGAAACTAAGAGCTGGTTCTTTGAAAAGATAAACAAGACTAATGAACTGTTAGCCAGACTCATCAAGAAACAAAAGAGAAGACCCAAATAAATAAAAAATCATAAACAAACGCGGAGAAGTAATCACTGACACCACGGAAATACAAAGGATTGTAAGGAAATACTATATGCCAAACAGATGGACAATGTGGATGAAATGGACAAGTTCCTAGAAAAATATAATTTCCCAAAACCAAATCAGGAAGAATCAGAAAACCTGAATAGGCCAATAACAACTGATGAAATAGAAGTAGTAATCAAAAAACTCTCAGCAAACAAAATCCCAGGTCTGGATGGCTTCACGGGAGTTTTACCAAACATTCAAAGAAGAACTAACACCTCTACTCCTCTAACAATTCCAAAAAAATCCAAAAGGAGGGAACACTTCCAAAATCTTTTTATGAGGCCAGCATTACCCTAATTCCAAAACCAGATAAAGACACTACAAAGAAAGAGAATTACAGGCCAATATCCCTGATGAACATAGATGCTAAAATCCTCAATAAAATTCTAGCAAATCAGATCTAGCATTACATTAGAAAGATCATACACCATGACCAAGTGGGATTTATTCCAGGAATGTCGGGCTGATACAATATTTGCAAATCAATAAACGTGATACATCACATAAACAAATTGAAAGACAAAAATCACATGATCATATCAACAGACGCAGAAAAAGCATTCAACAAAATCCAACAGCCATTTTTCATAAAAACGCTCAGCAAAGTGGAAATAGAGGGAGCATATCTCAACACGATAAAGGCCATATATGACAAACCTACAGCCAACATCAGACTCAATGGGCAAAAACTAAAATCATTTCCCGTAAGAACAGGAACATGACAGGGCTGTCTGCTTTCACCACTCTTATTTAACATAGCACTGAAAGTCCAAGCCATAGAGATCAGACAAGAAGAAATAAAAGGCATCCAAATTGGAATGGAGGAAGTAAAACTCTCATTTTTCCAGATGACATGATATTGTACATAGAAAACTCTAAAAACTCCACCAAAATACGATTAGATTTAATAAATGAATTTGTCAATATAGCAGGATACAAAATCAACACCCAAAAATCGATAGCTGTTTTATATACCACTAATGATTTTCAGAAAGAGAAACAAAACAAGCAATCTGATTTACCATTGCAACAAAAATATTAAAATACTTAGGAATAAACTTAACCCAGGATTCAAAAGACCTGTATTTAGAAAACCACAGGACGTTGAAAAAAGAGATAGAAGATATAAACAAGTGGAAGAATATACCATGTTCATTGATTGGTAGAATCAACATCATTAAAATGTCCATACTACCCAAGGCAATCTACAGATTCAATGTAATCCCTATTAAAATAGCAATAGCATAGTTCAGAGACCTAGAACAAATACTTCAAAAATTTATATGAAACCAAAAAAGACCCCAAATAGCCACTGCATTCTGCATGAGAATGAAGAACAAAGTTAGAGGAATTACAGTACCAGATTTCAAGTTATACTACAAAGCCACCATAATCAAAACAGCCTGGTACTGGCACAAGAACAGGCATATAGATCAATGGAACAGAACAGAGACCCCAGAAATCTCAACAGAACAGAACAGAGAACCCAGCAATCAAGCCAAGCCATTACATTTAATTAATATTTGACAACGGAGGCAAGAGCATATAATGGAGTTAAGACAGTCTCTTCAATAAATGGTGTGGGGAAAAATTGGACAAATACAAACAAATCAAACTTGACCACCAACTTACAACATACACAAAAATAAACTAAAAATGGATAAAAGACTTAAATGTAAGTTGTGAAATCATAAAAACCCTAGAAGAAACCATAGGCACCAAAATCTCAGACATCCCTCATAGCAATATGTTTATTGATACAGCTCCTAGGGCAGTGATGGCGAACCTTTTGAGCTCGGCGTGTCAGCATTTTGAAAAATTTTAACTTAACTCTGGAGCTGTGTCACATATAGAAATTTTTTGATATTTGCAACCATAGTAAAACAAAGATTTATAATTTTGATATTTATTTTACATATTTAAATGCCATTTAACAAAGAAAAATCAACCAAAAAAATGAGTTTGCGTGTTACCTCTGACACGTGCATCATAGGTTCGCCATCACTGTCCTAGGGCAATGGAAACTAATAAGAAAATAAACAAATGGGACTGGATCAAAATAAAAGGCTTCTGCACAGCAAAAGGAACCATCAACAAACTAAAAAGGGAGCCCACTGTATGGGAGAATATATTTGTGAATGATACATCTGATAAATGGTTAATATGCAAAATATATAAGGAAGTCATACAACTTAATAGAAAAGGCAAACAATCCAATTAAAAAATGGGCAAAGGACCTAACTAGACACTTCTCCAAAGTGGACATACAGATGGCCAAGAGACATATGAAAAAATACTCAGTCACTCATCATCAGGGAGCTGCAAATTAAAACGACCATGAGATATCATGGTCAGAATGACTACCATCAACAAATCAACAAATGACAAGTGCTGGCAAAGATGTGGAGAAAGGGAACCCTAGTACACTGCTGGTGGGAAT